CAGATAGAAGTGAAGGTCTTTGAGCTAAGAGACAAGCTTGAGGATGAAGGGTGTGTCGCTTGCTATTTGCACGGCAAAGGCCATATTGAAGAGGTACATGATGCTGACTCCACATGACAGTGTCGACGAAGATGACATTGATGAACAATGCGACGCTCTCCGGAAGAAATTGCAAGGAGAGCAACCGAGCAAGAAAGACACAACCAATGCCAAGGGTTTGAAGAGCCACCAAGTCCACGAGTTGGCCAAAGCCAAGATTGAAGAGAGCGAAAAACTGAGAAGAGCTCTGGGAATCAGAGAAGACTATGAGGAAGGCAGTCATTGGAGACATCAGGAAGAGAAGACAAGGGAGGGCCAGAGGAAAAGTCTCGACGAAGAGAGAGAAAGAGAGTGGAAGCGGGCCCAAAGCGAGGACTCACACTAGGAATACCTCATGGCTTCAAAACCTATTTCACAATTTGATGTCTTTAGCGCGGCGTTGGAAGCGATTGCTGTATTCGACAGAACTATTCTTCTATGGAGCTAGGCCATGGATGCGGATGCATTTCTTGCCCTTGTTGATCAAGGATGCGCCATGCGATACTCTTTACACCAGGAAGCCCACATTCACGACTGCACTCCGAACACACCATCTCTTTGTCGACACTACAGCCGCCTTGCGACTGTGAACTGAACGAGACGACTCGCAATTGACATCAAAATATTATCTGGAGAGTCGAGTCTTAGTTTTGGTGTGGAACTCCGTCCAACAGGAACGCTGGAAGCCGTGATCCATCATTGCACCAAACATGCCATCGGTCCAGACGTCGGTGAAAAAAAGTCGTCGACTCTCGTGTCACTGCGTGGGATCAAGCCTCTATACACCAAACACGTGGGTTTTGCCAAGCGCTCGAGCGGTGCTTTGAGCATATTTCTGTCTTGGTATCATTCTTGGCACATGCTTTTCGGCCTTGCTCAAGCGTGTCGACCATCCGCTACCGCTGCCCTCTGCTTTCCTTGGCCTGCCAATTGCATACTTGTTAAAGTACTTTGTACGTTTTAGGCACATGGCTGAAATCGCGTCGGGCCATATCAAAGCCAGAATTTAACTTGCTCGCCAAGATATCCATATTGCAAGTATAGAAACGCTACATATCCGGACTCCAACCAGATGCTCCCTATATCCTCATTACATTCGCTTCTTGTCGATCCGTTATCCTTCTCTTCTCACTCAACATGCTCGAGTCACGACATCTCCAGGGCCATGGCGACGCCAACTCGACCATTGTGCATTACTGGGCCTACCCGGACCGAGTGCTGCCATGTACTAGTGGCACAGGTACCTGTGAGTATCTGTCTGCTGTATACTGGATGCACACGGTTTCAATGCTCTACACCTTTATCATGTGGGGAGTCATTTTGGGCATCCTCTCTTCGCTTCTTTGGTTACGCTTCGTGTACACAAAGGATATCTCCCGCCATTCCGAGATCAAATCACCGGTAAGACGTGGTCTAGAAGCCATCGGGGCATTGGGCCGACGCTACCTACTCCCCGAAAGTCCAGGCCGATGGTTTTTCGGGAGAGTCACAATGCTACAAGTAGCAGTTCTTCTCACACTCTCTGGTTACCTTCTCATCTTTTCCCTTGTAGGGATAGTATACAAAACTTGGGTCACCCCTGTGAAGAGTCACCCAGGCCTATACAGTACCCGTGTTGGTATGGGTGGCTTCGCAGATCGAGTGGGCGCAATGGCATATGCGCTAACACCATTTACCATCGCTCTCAGCACGCGCGAATCACTACTCTCTCTTATCACGGGCATCCCTTATCAGCACTTCAACTTTTTACATCGATGGACTGGCCGCATTATCTTCATCCAGTCATTTCTACACACTTTGATATGGACCATCATCGAAGGCAGACTATATCAACCACAACCAGCCACGTACAAGGCCTTCATTTCCGAGCAGTACATTCTCTTCGGTGTCGTCGCTCAGCTTTTCATTACCTTCTTGTACATTTTCAGTACCAAATGGGCTATTCGCTGGACTGGCTATGAATTTTTCAAGCGTAGCCATTATGTTATTGCTGCCCTCTACCTTGGTGCATGTTGGGGTCACTGGGACGGTCTGGCATGCTGGATGATTGCCTCCATAATCCTCCTTGCTCTCGACAAAGCCGTACGTGTCGTTCGGACCGCCCTACTACACGTGGGGTACCGTAAAGGCGTCTTCGGGCTAGGCTTTCGGAGCGCAAATGCCACAATTCAGTACTTTGGCGACGAGAACATACAGGGCGACGGCGAAGCCTTAAGAATCGACTTCGACTTTCCTCAGGCAGCTTGGAGCCCTGGCCAACATTTCTATCTTTGTTTTCCCGCCATTAGCCTCTGGCAGTCTCACCCCTTCACTCCGTCATCTCTTCCCGATGGTCGATCTGGCACGCAGCACCACACCTACCTTGTTCGCGTCCGCAAAGGTATCACTGCACAATTGGCTCAGCTCGCCAAGCCCGGAACAACCACAACCTCTGTTGTCATATGTGGCCCCTATGGCGGTAGCGGTAGGGATTTCACCTGTTGTAACCTCTTGACCGTGGCCGGAGGAACAGGTGTGACCTCCGTGTTGCCAGTCCTACAAGAAGCGCTCACGTCCCCATATGCTCTGAAAGCTCCATCACCAGCTCGAGAATTTGTCTGGATAGTGCGATACGTCCGCGACCTCGACTGGATAGCTGCCGAACTTCAAGAGATGAAAGAGATGATGGATCATGGGCGAGCGCAGGGTTTGAGAATGAAGATCTTCGTCACGAGAGAAGATGGTCTTGCATCTTTGCCCTCCTCTGCTACTGCCTTTTCGTCAGCCCTAGATGAGAACAAGGGGAAAGGTGAAAGCTGTTGTAGAGGCGAGAAGGATGATGTGCCGGTTGTCACTCCTGTGGATGTGCTTGCCCCAGTGCCAGGATTCGAGATTGTATATTTGGATCACGCACGTCCCTGTATCGAGGATGTGGTGGCCAACTTCACCGATCGTGCCAGAATCGCAGGTGGCGAGAGTAGAGTCATTGGCGCTGGCCCGGAAGAGATTGGAACGACCTTAAGGACGGCCGTAGCCAAGAGGAACGACGCAAGCAGAACTTGGATAGGAGACGAGGAGGGCATAATGGGCTTGGAATGGGATTGCCGTGCCTGATCTTGGACTCTGTCGAAAAGCCGATAGAATATTTACGAATATTAAAAGGATATATATGTATATATATGGAATGACGGAACCACCGACATCATCAGACTCTTCTTGTTTGGAGCTACGTAAGACACTCATGCTGCCCTTTGTATGAACTCTTCTTTCTTGATTACTTGGCAAAGTAGGCAGGATAGCTTTGAAGTTCATTGAGCTTCAAAACAAGGCGCAGGTAGCATCGTACAGCTATCTCATGCACCCCGCCACAACTGGCGACCGAGCGGGGGGCCAGAGACCAGGCAACCTTCCCATGCTCATATCAACCAAAATTCGAATACGTATACTCGACCCATCAGGTCAGGTCAGCACTCCACATTCATATAGAAAGAAAACTCACCCATCAGAACTAGTCTCGTCAAAGCAGTCATTCCCCACCCCAGCAACCATGAAATCCAGCCTCCGCACCAACAGCAGCAACCTCCTCACCCACCTCAACAGCCACTTCAACCACGCCGCAAACCTCACAACGCGCCTAGCAAAAAACCTAACCGACCTCTTCATCCCCTGGCGCTGGTCCTCAAGCATAATCACCGAACTCCTCAACGCGCCCTCCGCCCCCGCCCGCTCCGCCCTCGCAACCACCTTCGTAACCTCCACCCTCTCCGGCCTCAAAAACGTCGGCCTGACAGCCGGCCTTGTCGCCGGCGTCATCTCCAGCGCTTTCTCATGGTCTGATGTCGCAGACGCGCATTGGTTGACGCTGGCGTTTTGGTATACGGGACTCGTGTTTGCGTTTACGTCTATTTCGGCTGCGGGGTTGTGCACGAATGCCTTGTTGAGGTTGAGGTGGCATGAAGATATCGGTGAAAGGGTTAGGGATGTGCTGGGGTATCCTGTGGACGCTGGATTGGGGAGTGGGGGGAGTTGGAGACCTAGGGCTTTTCAGCCTTGGGTTTGGGGGTCCCCTGGGGCGATGTTGAAGGTTTCTTTGTTGGCGTTTTTGGCGGGGTTGGGGATTGATGTTTGGGTGAGGGCGAGCCGGGGTGGGTTGAGGTGGGGGGAGGATCAGTTTAAGGTATGTGCTTGGTTCTTTTCTTTTTCTTTATTTTCTCTCTCCTGTCAGTTGGCTTATTGTGCGTAGCTTGCTGTTTTTGTCACGATTGCGAGTGCTTGTGCTGTTGTCATGTATTCTGTGGCTGTCATTTGTTTGTTCTTTCGTACTGTGAGTTATGAAGGGAGTAAGAAGGGCTAGTAGTAAAATGTCATCCTCAGCTCTCATTAATTACAAAGACTGAACATTCAAGGAGACTGAACGCTGCCTCGCCGCTGCCTCGCTATGGTCCCGGTACTGGCCGTATATATATACATAGTTTGCTTTTGATTGATTGATTGATTGATTCATACGCTATGCGCTTACCACAGGAAGCATGAGCGGCTACTATTTACTTTACTAAGTATACAAATATTTATGGAGTCTGCGTCTCATTCTTCAGCTTTAACTGTTAATGTGCCTCTGTACCTGTTTTTCACCTTTTTTTTAGCGTGTTAATCTATATTATAATAGGGACCTAAGCTACTATAATACAAGTTTCGTTTTTAGTGTGGGACAGCTCCACAGAAAGATTTTATAGGCCCCTGAGGGATTCGAACCCTCGACTTTCTATGCATTCAAACAGATCTGACGCCTTGGATGATGGAGATCTAACCGACTACACCACCGGGGCCACATAGTTTGCGAGAGCGAATATAACAGTGAACGACCTGAGAAGCTTACTCGTCCAAGTCTGTCTGAGCCAAGATGGTTGAATATACGTTATCAGAGCAATTCTTTTTTCATCAAATCCGATGTGGTCTAGTGGCTAGGATTTGCCGCTCTCATGTGCAATTCGCAGAAAGGTCCGGCAAGGCCGGGGTTCAATTCCCCGCATCGGAATTGGTTTTTTGCGCCTTTTTCGCCCTATTGCTTACCAACGGGCCAACCATACCTTACCAACTAACATCTTGTTCTTGCCTCCTAACACATTCGTATGCAAGTCATCATTAATGATATCGAGAACCTTTTCGCTTATATAGTCAGAGTAGTGTTGATGAATCTGCTTGTTGACACGGAGACACTGTGCGTAACCAACTGGTTCAGTTCAATTGCTAAAACTACGTTCGAGTAATTACAAGAGTTTGAAAGTAAGAAACGTCTTTATCCTGCTCTGCGTGCCAAGCCATGTCGCAGAGTGAATACTGAAGTGAAGTGAATGCTTGCTTCAGGTGTTCACCTGGGGTATGCCTGTGACACTTGTCGCTCGAATCTTCCCCTACTGATTGGGCATTCTCTCGAACAGCCCAGGCCTTGATATCTTGATTATTGAATCATCGATAAAGCTGTTAATGGTGGATCATCAATAAAGCTGGCAATAGTGAATAGTATGTTTATTCCCCTTGGCCAATCAGCACAGGACAGAGCAGGGACTTTAATTTCGTAGGTGGACTATGTGCGAGAATATTGAGCAGAAACATGTTGACTCTGGCGAGTGCTAAATGTCGTCTGAATGAAAAAAGTAAGCGTGATGGAGAGATGCTAGTGCTCAGGGAAACCTTTGTCATGGTCAGCAATTATTTTGAGACAGAAATTGAGCCAGGCCCACGATAATGAAAGCATCACCATAAATTGTGTCCTTACCTGTACATTCATCGGATATTGGACTAGAAGGACATCCAGCCCGTGTACTTTCCTGGGCATAAGCGTCACCAGGATCCTATTCATGATCAAGCATCTCCGCTCCATCCGGACCTTGACTTCTCTCGTTTGGCAAATGTGCAAGTGTCGACGTAATCAACCTCCTCAACCACTCATACAGAAAAATAAAAATAAAAAGACCGACGCCGAGTATGGGGCTTCATTAATTAAGCCAAACGCTCGAAACAGGTTACACATCCATCTCCTCAGGTGTCATATGCGAGCAACATGGCAAGCAGGAGCCAACCAGGATTTGCAAGGTTAACAATATTGATATTGGATTCTCCCCACACTTCTCCTCCAGTCATATTGGCAGTCTCGCGTACGGATTTCGGGCGTGGAGACGACAAGACGTCGACCTCGGGCAGGCAAAGCTCGTATTACCGTGCTTCGATCACCAATGCAGCGCGGTTGAGCATCTGACAAGCCTAATAGTGTCTTCAAGGCTGATCTCCGTCCAATTGTCAAGGACGCCACGGACGTCGCCGAATATGTCGAAGAAGAATTCGAAGAAGGGGCTCACCTGAGGCTTACCTTAAGGTTGGAAGAACAAGATTAGAGCAGGAGGGGTGTTTTACCAAGCTTGTGCAGAGAAATCGAATCTTCTTGAAAGATAGCGTATCTCAAAGCCTGTACTCGTAGTCTGTCTGCGATTGCCCGATGTCTCTCTGTGGCATCTTCTAGAAAGTGGCAGATTGCATATGCGTAACAATTCTCCGAGACGTGACAACGCAGGGATGCCGGTCGCTGTCATGCTATGCATGTTTCATCAAAACAAGTCCGAAGGTCCACATATGCAGCCAAAGATGGTGGGGTCCTTGTCTACGAAGGCTGCGGTTGAGGAACAACAGCCAATTAGAAGTTTCCGCATCGGCTTGCAGTCATCGTTCCAGTACGCAACCCAGCCTACATGGTTTAACGCTCGGTCGAGGTTTGACAATTGATCGCCCTGTTGAGCACATGCCCTAATGAGCGCAACCGCCGGGGAATAAGAGGGAACTGGAGCTGCAAAAGCTTGGAGCTACTGCAGTTCGCAACGCGTTTGGAGAGCGACCGTCGGCTCCCCGCCGGATTGGAACGTCAGAAGGAGGTGAGGTTGCGAAGAACACCTTATGTAAGCTAAATCTTAGAGAATTATATGGATCGAGGTTGCCAAGACAAACTTCTCATTGGTCAGAGCTCGACATGAGCAGACTAAGGTACTCTCTCATGATTAGCCGGATTCTCCTCCGCAAATCAAGTCCACAACAAAAGCACTGTACACGCTATCACGACACTTCTGAGACCAGTCCACAACGGGAATGTGTTCACCCACCTACCATTCCAAGGGTGCGGTTACTGGAGACTTTAGAGAGACATCTGTGCGGAGACGCTGATGCGTTTCAGCCTGGCTAGTCCAAACATGTGGTCCAAACATATACCGAACGAGTGATACCATGGAAGTATTCTCAGGTACCTTCTTGCACAGTAAACGCGCAGATCCTAGGGCATCTTTGCCTCAGAGATGTACAAAAAAAGATACATAGCCTTCGGATCACCTAGCCGTATGACAACACCAAGGCGATAATTGCTTCATGTTATGCAGTATGAGATGCCATCCGAGGGCAAAGTGTGCAACACGCATAGGCGATGGATCCTCTCTGTCACGGAAGCAGCAATTGCGAGACTGTTGGTCCGGCTACTCAAAACACTGGCGAGGTACCAGTCTTTAAAATAGCAACGGTGAATCGAGCCTGGTTCAGACTTAGCCATCGCTGAGCAGGATGGAATCGCTCTCCACAGGACTAGAGCTGGTGCCTGGCTGAGCTGAGACTCGAGGGAGGGGAACATATGTCAGTCGAATGTACCCCCCTCAGTCGATTCTCTCAGTCACGATCTGTACACCTTTGGGCTGGTCCTTGTTCCTTCTAATTCGTCTCTTCTTTCGTACCTTTGCTTCTAGTTCACATATTTCCCCTCTCGAACACCTTGTTTGCGAGTGTTCCATATTTTAGTCACAGCCTTCACAATCTCCAAGAGTCTCAGAACGTCTTCTCGCAGATCCTCCTACTGCATTCCTACAAGCATGACTTTGGTATCTCTGATTGCCATTGCAGTCTTCTTGGCCGTCAGCCTTTTCATCCATTATGTCTCTAAGAAAGAAAGCACTCGCCTTCCTGCTGGTGTTCGACAATTGCCTGGCCCTAAAGGTGTGTAACGACTTTCACAGTATAGTATCACGACCACCACTGATTGCCGCATGTAGGCTATCCTATACTGGGTAGCGCACTAGATATCCCCGACAAGAACAGTTTCTTGAAGTTTCATGAATGGGGCGAGGAGTACGGACCTATTTACCAAGTCAATATAGCTGGTCACAACCATGTCTGGATTACTCGGGATAATGTTGCACAGGATGTGCTCGGGAAAAGGGCACAGAATTATTCCGAGCGACCTTACATCCCATCCCTTACCCATGACAATCGCACCAGTGGGCACTACCTTCCACTGATGAGTCGCAACGAGAAATGGGCAAGACAGAGAAAATTTGCCAAGCAGGTCATGGACAAGTCTGCCAAAGCGTCGTATTACGGCTTACCAGAGGTGGAGTCTATCCGGCTTTTGTTCGAACTCATGACCGATCCGTCGCGATACAACCATGCTCTGGAATCATTCATCGCCAGGGTCACCTCGCGTCTTGCCTGGGGAACCGCAGAGCCCGCTGACGAGCTCAAGCAGAGAGCTAGAGAACTGCTCATCGGAGTTTCACCAAACGGCGCTCTGACTAACAAGCTTGCTTTCCTGAAATCATTTCCGGAAAGTTTGGTACCAGCCAAAGCTTGGGAGTTGCGTAGATTCAGAACGGAAAGTCGCTTTTTCTCAGTCATGCAAAACCAAGTGCGAGAGCAAATGCAGAAGCCCGGTGCCCCAGAATCTTGGATGAAGCATTTTTTCGAAAAGAAATCATCCTTGGGTTTCCCATCCGATGCAGAAGCCGCTTACGCAGTGGGTATGCATGGAATTGCAGGAGCTTTGACTATCGCGGCCCCGATGCAGAGCTTTTGTCTTGCCTTGTGCCACTTTCCTCACCTCCAGCCAATACTTCATGAGGAGATTGACCGAGTATTGGGTGATCGCATGCCAAAGCTCAGCGATATGCCTGACATGCCTGTACTCCGCGCATTCATTCGTGAGACTTTGCGATGGCGACCACCTGTCCCTACAGGTTAGTATCTATGTACACTCCATCAACCAACCTGCTAACCTTTGCATGTAGGCATTCCTCACGAGTCTGTTAAAGATGACGTGTACGAAGGTTACCTAATTCCCGCCGGTTCGGTCATGCATCCTCTTGAGTGGTCTATTGGAAGAGACCCTGAAATGTTCACGAACCCCGACACTTTTGATCCAATGCGCTGGCTTGAATCAAAGTACCCCACCTACCAAGAGCCTCTGTCGAAGTATCCAACCATAACCAACTACTCCCAATTTGGATACGGTCGGCGTACTTGCACAGGTCAGGGTGTCGCAGAAGCAGACCTTTTCGTCGGCATTGGCAGCATGGCATGGATGTTCAGAATGACTGGAGAAGGCGAGAATCTTGAGACCAAGTCAGAGCAGATCCAGGTTAAGCCGCCTGCCATCGAGGTGGTAGACGCGAGCCAAAGAATGCCTTCTGGTGTACAAACTCCGCCGTCAGAGTCGGAGATCGAGGCTCTTCTCGTTACTGAGAAGTTCCCAGTCTCGAGAAAGCTCACCCTCCTTGGTAGAAAGAAGAAAGCACCTGACAACAAACTGAAGGTGGCTTCGGGAGGGGTCGAGCGACGAAAGACTGTTTCGCACAAATTCAAGGTTCCGGGTCAAACGCTTCCTGGTCAATTCCCTGCCTTCTTCGCTGAGAACAAAGGTCCAGACACTCCACCAGGTTCGCCAACGCGAATCTTTGCCCAGGCTGGCACTGAAGACATGCCTTCTGTGAATGCAGCAATCGCGGAAAAGGCAGATCCAACGCTTGAGTACTCCAGTCTTCTCATCGCTAAGCCGTTGCCCTTCAAATTCAATCTTCAAATTCGTGACAGAAAAAAGGCAGACTATGTTGCACGAGAATGGCTCAATTTGATGATGGATGGCGACCTTGTTGACTCAAGATGCTACTGGGAAGGCGGAAACTCGGGAACTGCTGAGTTAGGCTGGGGTGAAGTACACAAATGACTTGACCTCTT